GCCTACCGCCTGCTGCCTCCCTAAGCACAGACTTACAATACACATGTACATATATGCAAGTGTGCTGAGGATGCTTGGAACTTATATGTGTATGTGTGCATGTGTGTGTGTGTGTGTGTGTGTGTGTGTGTGTGTGTGTGTGTGTGTGTGTGTGTGTGTGTGTGTGTGTGTGTGTGTGTGTGTGTGTGTGTGTGTGTGTGTGTGTGTGTGTGTGTGTGTGTGTGTGTGTGTGTACGTGTGTGTGTGTGTGTGTGCGCTGAGTAAATCAAAATTATGTGCACCCACACACAGAAAAATAAAAAAAAAAAATTGCTTTAAAATATCGCGATTCCCCTTCGAAAAGTTGCCTGTGCAATTTGGCCTATTTTAAAACTAGTTGTAATATTCGTACATTTTTACTTAGGTAATAAAGAAGTAAAGAAAAGAAACCCAATATATGGAAAATATTTCCTAGGACGTAGCAAATTATATTTATAAAAATATTATGTTTGAATTATTTTTTTAGTTATGATACTTAAATTTGTAACAACATTGGGACTCTATATTATAGATATGCATAACATATATCCAACTTTTAGGACTCTTATTCAACACAATGCAATTATTCGAAAGTTTTTAATAAATTAAGAAAAGATTTCGAAATTTTTCAAATTTAGAAGTGGTTCCAAACATTGAAAATATCTGCTAAGACATTGCAAATAATATTTATTAAATTATGTTTGGGTTATTTTTTCTATTTATGATACTTTAAAAACAAAAACATAACAAAACTATTTTGTTATTGGTTTTTTAAAGTGCAAAGTGAAAATATCTCCTTATATGTTGCAAATAATTTGTATAAAAATATTATGTTTGATTTATTTTTTCTAGTTATGATACTTCAAAGAGAAAAACAAAAACATATTTTTTTTAGTTCTATCAAATTTCGGGACTCTTTTTTTTGAAGTGCACGCTGCCTGCGTCACTTTCTTCAATTTCATGCAGCTGTATATATATATATATATATATATATATATATATATATATTTGTGTGTGTGTGTGTGTATGTATAACTTCTAAGATTTGTATTCGACACAATGAAACTGGCTGCAATAACAACAAAAAAAACCTCTAACAAACTACAAGTATTTACAGCCTTCTCGTGTGCGCCGCATGCAGCTCAAATAATTTGTAGCGTTTGCCAGCATCTACCCCCCTCCCCCCTAACATTCTCTTACACTACCCTCCCCACCCCTAGGCAGCCATTCGTTTTGTCTAGTACGTCTCCCCAGAGCGCTAAACAAAACTAAAACGAAGACACCAGCGACCCGACGTCGCGCCGATTGTGTTACACTGTCTCTTGGCCTTGCTCTCCCACATACACACACGCACGCAAACGCACGCACACGCACACACACAGCAAAAAATGTCGGCGCACTTGTTGGCATCTTGAAGTCGCCGCGCCGTCTAAGAGTAAAGCGAAGAGAGCGCTGCGAGCGAAAGAAGCTGTTCGCGTAGCATACTTAAAGGAGAGGCGCCCGAGCAGGGACGATTTCGCAGCAGCAGCAGCGGCGGCGGCGGCGGCGGCAGCGTGGCGCTACTGGTGGGTACTTTACTTGATGATTATGGCGACGATAATGATGATTGGAATGGCTTTGATGGCGTTGAAAATGAAGATTGCGTGTAGTAGATTTCTTTGTGCTTCTGTGCTTGGCCGGTCCCGACACTGCCCTGCCCACCGCCCCCTGCCGCCCCTGCTGCGTTCGTTTGTGTGCGTGTGTCCTGCTTTTTTGCTATTTTGCTGTTGCTTCATTTGGCGCTCTGCTCCTGTGTGTACGTGTGTGCTTGTGTGTGGTTGGGCGGTTAGGTTAAGGTAATGCTTACATCTACACACTATCAACATTTGATTTTATTACGCTCATTTGTATACAGACACACACACACACACACACACACACACACATGTCTTGCTGGCGCCCCCTCCCACTTTAATAGTGCCTGTATGTGTTGTGAGCGGGTCGATGCTGTACGCCCGTTCAATTTGGCGCCCATAACCACTAAACTAAATTATAAGAATAGATTCAAGCAACAAGAGAGTTGTCGTTGCCGTTGCCGTCTTCCAACTTTGACCTCCTACTGTGCCGGACGCTCGCAGCGCAGCCGGCGCAGACGTCGACGTTCACGTTGCCGCGGCAATGAAGGCCACACGGCGACTTTTGCCGGCTGGCTGAGTTTATTTTTTTTTTCTTTTTTTTTGCAAGTCTGGCCACCGGCTATGGCGGGGCCAGGACCTGCGGGAGCAACGGGAGCTACGGGACCAACACCAAGGCGAACCAAATCGCCAGCTTCTTTGAGCAGTTAGTAACTGTTAAGACGTCGTGGTCGTCTCGTCGTCGTCATTCTCGCTTCATTTGTGGGTTGCCCTTCGCTTCGCTTAGTTTCGTTCTCCTTGTTCTTGTTTCCATTCTGTTTGTGTTTTGCACATTTTGTTGTTTGCCGGCTCGCCTCAGCCATTCGCCGGCCGCAACAACAACAATAACAGTTATTTGGCTTGGATGATCGGACGGCTGGCCGACAGGCCAGGACGTGTTGCTTGTGCATGTCCGCGCGCTTGTAACGGTTAAGCTAACTGTAACTGTAAGTGTAACTGTAACTGTAACGGGAACTCTCAATTCGAATGTGATTCGGAATGCGAATGTCCATGTAAAAGTAAACGTGAATGGTAATGTGAATTCTGAATGCGAATGTGGTTGCTGTGATTTACTAACTGATTTTTGATGCGTCTTGTCTTACCAACATTCGATGCAAAAAGTGGAAAGAGAAAGGGGGCATCTATCTATCTAGTTAATCTTCTTTCGCAGACCTTAAACAATAACAACAAATTCAAATTCAAATTAAAAATAGAGTGCATGCACACAAGCAAATAAATACATTCACAAACACACGCACACACGCACGCACACTACTCGCTGGTTTTTTCGGCTGGGTATTTTTGTGCGTCGCCCCGTCGATTTCCCCTTTTCGACGCCAGTGGGCGGCAGTTCAACCTCAACCTCAACCAACCCCCGCCTGCGCCCCACACTTACTGCACTAAGTTGTATTTTGGATTTTTCTCTTTATTTTTTGTTTTTTGTTGCCCTTTACAATTTGTTGTTGTTGTTTTTATTATTTTTTATTTTTTTAATTTCGTGCCATCGCACGGGGGTTGATTGTGTGTGTGTGTGTGTATGTGTGTGTGTGTGTGTGTGTGTGTGTGTGTGTGTGTGTGTGTGAGTGTATTTGCGGCAGAGCAGCTGACGGCGCAGCAGCAGCGGACGCAGCATGCAGCGGGGTTGGTTACGGGTTTCTTTTTTTGCTCACACACATGCAAACACACACACACATACACACACACACACACACACACACACACATGCGCGCACACTCTTTTATTTTTTTGTTTCTGTGCGTTGTTGTTGTTGCTGCTGCTTTTGGTTTTAGCATTTTTCGTTTTTACTTTTTTGTTTTGTTTGCGATTTTCCTTTTGCCGCTGCCGTCGCAGTCGCAGCCTTTTTTTAACGCCGCACGCAGAAAAAAAATATAAAATAAAGCTAGTTGTTGCTTTTGGGTGGCGGAGGGGGTGGAGAGAGGGTGGTAGGGGGTGAAGCTGGCGAGAGGGCGGCTGTTGCGCTGCACTACGACTATACCACATGACATAGGCCGCAAAGCAGGGTGGCAGCCGAAAGGGTAGCACGGGTGGGCAGCGGACGGGCAGCGGGCGGGCAGCGGACGGGCAGCGGTCGGGCAGCGGTCGGGCAGCGGCAATGCCATGGAAATGAGTAATGAGTGTGTTTAGTTCTTGTGTATAGTTTAGCGGATGATTTCGATGGCATCACAGCCAGCAGCGGACAGCGGCGGCAATTATTGCGTTTCTTTTCCGCTCGGCAGATAAAATACCGGCCACCGTCGCAGTCGCTGTCGCAGTCACCGTCGCTGTCGCAGTCGCGGCGGCCCAATAGAAGCATTCGCTTGTGCAGAACCCAAATCATAGCACAACATTTGGCGCACTGATTAGCGGACCCAGACGTCGCTGCTGACGTTTCCCTCTGTCTTCACTCTATCAGTGTGTGTGTGTGTGTGTGTGTGTGTGTGTGTGTGTGTGTGTGTGTGTGTGTGTGTGTGTGTACGTATATAATGGCTTCAATTGTGTGCTAAATTTTCTATTTCATTGTCGCGCGTCCGTCGAACGACGCCGACAGCGCGCTGCCTCAGCCGAGGGCACAGCATCAGCAGCAACAGCAGCCGCCGCAGCAGCAGCGTTTCACGGCATCGTCTTGCAGCTTCGTGCGACGAAGTCTGTTGCTTCGTGTCGGCTTCGTGCGCTCGCTTAGTCCTTAAGCTATGGGCAAAGCCGACAACGATAACAACAACAGCAACAACGACCACAACGACGACTACAACGAGCGCGACTCTTTAGCCGCTGTCGCTGCGCTGTCGCAACGCTGCTGCTGCTACTTCTGCTGGTGCTGCTGCGACGGCGGCGGCGGCTGCTGGTGCTGCCGGCTCGTCCTGTGGCGGCTGCTTTGCCGTTACTTGGCTCACTTCAATTGAGTTCCGTTTTTAAAAATAACGTTAGTTGCTGTTTGTTGCTCGTTACGTGCGCGTGTTGCGACGCGCAACTGAAAACAACCAACAGTAAAAACCAACTCAGAAAAATATACAAACAGAACAAGCAAAGGACATTCCCAATTGACCAGAAACAACAACAAAAAATATTATAAAAAAATATATATATATAAAAATACAAAAAAAAAAAAGGAGAAATTGAATTTCTGCAAAACGAACTTTTTTGTTTGTTTATCGCGAATTCTCGAAAATAGTTAACAATTTTTTTAATGTGTTTGTTTATGCGAATTTTAAACAATCGCCTGCAAGCAACAAATGCTTATCAAACCACAAAAATGTGCAATATAATTATTTAAATTGAATAACAATCTAATTGAGTCTAAATTGTAAATCGAAGTTAATTCTGGTTTCCCTAGGGAGACAACGAATGCGCCTGGTCCAGTGATTGAGTGGGCCGAGCCGAGACAAAAACAAAAACAAAACCCGCGAATTTCAACTAAACTCCAAATAGTCCCACACACACAAGCGAAAGCGAAAGTGAGTGCAGCTCCAGCACCTAAGGCGACCAAGAGAACGACGACGACGAGAGAAGGTTACGAGAACGGAAACGAAAACGGGAACGAGAACAAGAAAAACAACGATAACAAAGTGCAATCTGCAACCGGAAACTGAAAGCGTCTTTCACCGGGCCACACAAACATGTAAGTCCTAACATAGGCTAGGATATATCAGATCCCAAAATTGATTCCAGATATGATATACATGTAAATGATATATATTCGTTATCCCCAAATGACACGTTGTCCTCATAATGTTCACCGTGTTTTTAATGTAAGCCCAAGGAAATTGTCGCTGATTCGGTTCTCGGTTCGAACCAGCACCCTGCATTGAGGTTTAGTTCTTTAAACCAGGTTTTCATATAATATGCGTAAAGTGGAATAAGAATATAACTTAGATGTTCTTGATCCCAAAATGATTTATTGTGCATATTATGTAAGTCCAAAGAATATACCGCTGCGGTGTACGCTTTGAATCTGCATCCTACCCTAAAGTTCAGTTCTTAATCCCAGGTTTCAGTATAATATGCATAAAATTTGAATCAAAATATATCATATATATCCTTTAAACAAATATCGCTAGTTCGAAATACGACATTTCCCATTTTTTAATGTCCGTATCACTGAAAATACCACATTTACTACATAAATTCTTGAATAGGATGGCGACCCCAGGCGACATTTCCGATCGATCTCAAGAGCTATAGCATCTTAAAACTTGGAAGTGGAAATATATATTCTTATTTTTCAACCGCAGCAGGAATTTATCTTACTTTCAATATAACCTCCTATTTTTATATTATCTATAAATATGGATTTTGAAACTTGTTTTTTTTTTTTTTATATCTTAAAAATTTCCCGCACGTGTGGAAAAATCCCGAAAACCTTTGTATTTAAGTTTTTGCTTACCAGCCGATCGGATTCAAAATCATTTTCAAAGCTATTTGTGAGAATTTATTCTTCGATACCAACACTTGCTTTTTATTCGATGCTCCTTAAACATATTTGTAAATGGATGCGGGGATCAAGATGGGAAAGGTAATACCTAAAAATGTTTAGAACAAAACCTTCCACAAGCAATGCCGGGCAATACCCGCTAGTATATTTATATATAGATTTCACTTTTCTGGCCGTCTCCTTCCCCATAATGGGACGATATCCATCATTAAGGTTGAATCGTGCACTTTAGCATGCAAAATTTTATCAATATTTCAAATATATCGGACTATAAAAGCCGCAACTATATATATTCATGAATACATTATTTTATTGTTTCCTCTTATCGAAAGTATTAAGAAATCTTACCACAGTCAAAAATACCCTAACGGACATCTCTAATATACAGACATCTCTCTTGGGCGGTATTTTTTTAAATATATTTTAAATAAATTGTGAAAAATTCCGCGATTGAACAAAATTCAAAGCATAAGCCGGAAATTGATTATATGAACAGCGATATAGTTAATTTAATTAACAACAAAGAGAACACAAATACCGCACTAATGTTTATCTAAGGGTTCTTTAAATACGCTCGAATCTAAGCTCATTTTAGCATAAAAATTAAAATATTATTCCACTGCATTCGAACACTTAACAAATGTAGAAAGCAGGAGAGACTTTTGGAAGAGAAACTACGGCCCGGATTAGCTTAATGGCTTGGCTGCAGACCTTGAATGTTCTGCCGGTTAAGTAATTTCTGGTAGATTTTATTCAACCTGTTTGTAGAGGTAATAGAGATAAACCATTCTCGCAATCACGGAGGATAAGCTGAATGACTCTGCCTTTCCCTTTCTTCAACCTCTTCCCTTCTTGGAAATTGGACTAATACTGAATTTATATTCTCTTTCACAATTTCGCCTCTCCCTGTCCAGCAGGAGTGTAGAAGGGAGTGAGCAACTTTATTCAATCGATATATTTGTGACATTCAATTACATTTTTTGCCGCCACACATTTGGCTCTAAATGACAACAAAAAAAAACTATCGACCATGTCAGTATTTTTAGGCTGCAACTAAAGCTCATTTGAATTTGCGTTATTTTATGAATTTTGCTATGTGAAACATTATAACTAATATTTTCGTATGAAAACTGATATGATATCAGTATAAATAACTGATAACTGTAAACGTAAAATGTATCTACAATTTTGATCTCTCTAATAGCCTGATTCCACTTCACTTATATTTATGTTAAACTTACAAACTGCACATTTTGCGATTCCATTAACAAGTGTTCGTTGTCTGTATCATGTGAATGGCAAAAAGTACCGCACTTCTTTAAATAAACAGCTGATCTTTTTGATTAGATTAGATGCTTCCAAAAGCTAAATAATACGATCTCGAAGTAGAGGCTTTATTGAATAGACTCTTTTCGGAATTTGGCCATGTTTCAATTATAAAAACTGAGGAATTCATAAAATTTTAAGTTATAATTTAAAGTTACCGCTTACCTTCGTTGCTTTATCCGCTGCTTATGCTAATGATACTTGCATGTTTTACATAATATTGATACGAAATTCGACAACTCATTGCAAAAAACATGAACTCGAGCGAATACACACATTTTTTGCAAATTTAACATTTATGGCAAATGTGAAAAATGTGATTTCTTATGGGAAAACGGACAGGCAACATATTGCACATTAGCATGAAATGTTACATTTGCAAAAAATAAAAGAAATGTCGACAGTGGAATAGGGCAAGAAAATGAATAAATCCAGCCGCACCCGTTGCCCCTTCATTGGGAGGCACTCCTTATCCTCTGTTCTGCCACATTAATCAAAGATAATGAAAATGCCTAGAGGTCATATAGCTGCCGAAACGATTGGAGTAGCCGAAGTTTGGGTAGATGAGCTAATCTTGAAGCCAGAACATCTGAAAGTAAGCACCAATAGGCGGGTAAAGGGAACGATCGCAATTGTCGTGTCTCGCGCTTAGTCACGAGACGAATACTAGGTGCAACTGGGAGTGCAGAGTGCAGGCTGAGGTTGAGGCAGAGGCAGAGGCAGAGGCAGAATGTGAGCCACTCGCTTTATTCGAACGCACTCATTCAGGAGCGTAAACGAATAGCGCGGCAAGTCGTTGAACTTTTCCAACGTTTTTGGGCTGTTTTTATTCGCAAGATTATCAATGCTTGTGAGTGTCTACTGTAAACAACTACAACAAATGTATATCTAATGCCCAAACTGAGCTGATACGATCCGCGAGAGAGAGCGGGAGAGAGGCACAGAGAGGGAGGCAAAGGGAGAGCCAGCTAGAGCAACAGTCAAGCAGAGGCGGAGGCGACAGCGTGAGCTGAAAAACATTACGTATACGCCGCATTTAGCGGCGGCTCTTGTTATTTGCCTTTTTGAGAGCCACAGCACGGTCAATGGACGGCGCGCTTATTAGGCCTTCAGAGGCGAACTTAGTATATATCTGTGTGTGCATGTGTGTGTGTGAGTGTGTGTGTGCGTCGGTGTCAGTAACCCAATGCAATCTACAACAATTAGAACAAACAGCAGCGGGTTCATTGCGATCGCATTGCGATCATTGCGTTTGTTGTCATTGTCATTGTTATTGTTATTGTTATTGTTATTGTTATTGCTATTGTTATTGTAATTGTTATTTGTATTGTTGTTGTTGTTGAAGTTTTTTTTTTTTCACGAGGTCACGCAATGGGTTAATGTTAATAGCTCATCAGCCGAGTAACTCTCAAATAGGAAGGGAAAAGCGAAGGCTATTTCAATTTGAGCTTTTAGTTTCTCTGTCGTTTTCACTGATCTTGAAAAGATCAACGAGTCGGTATATCTGGCATGAGCTGTATTTAAAAGAAATATAAATATCGAAAAAGTGTTGAGTGCAGTCCAAAAAAGTGGCCAGATTTCATTCAAGCCGCTGGCGGCATCTCCCAAGACCGGCGCAGCCAAATACAAAAGGTCAAAACAAGTGCCAAAAAGCCATGGCAAACAGCGCAATAAAAAAAGCGTAAAAAACGTTAAAGAAAACAGAAAAAATATGCGTATTCTGAAAAAATTGGCAACGCAAGTGCGAGACAAGCACAATTAAAAAATTAAATCGCCACGCATGAAAACAACATGACTGAAACGAAAAAAAACAACAAAAAAATTGAGTTCAGCAAACAGACAACACACAATAAGTACAAAGACGGGATAGCCTCAGTTGCATTCAAGAAAATATTATATAAATAAAAAAAATCAGCAAAAATGGCACAAAAAAAACCAAACCAATCGCAAGATACATTTGCAATCCGCAACTAGTTCCAGACAGGGTCACACTGAGCGCTAAGCGGCTTGTGGAAGCAGTGGGGCGAGGGACAAAGCCAAATTCAAAAAAATCACATGATGCACTTGCGGGAGGTGGGTAAAGGTAAATTCAATTTCAAATTATTTTAGGCCTCGAATTAGGTTAGGCTCTAAACCCACACACACACACTCACACACACGCACACAAGTACAGTGTGCTGCGATGCGATAACCAATCCGCAATCGCCAATCGACATCAGCAGAAATTCAGAAACTGCAAATTGCGAGTGCATACACACACACAAATGCACGCAGTATATATCTATATATATATATCTATATATATATACATATATATCTATATATGTTTGTATATGCACATATGTATGTACGCAAGCCGAAAACAGGGCCAAAGAATTTGGTGGGCTTTGTAAAATGCGAACAAAATGTGGGCTACAACTTTCAATTGGCGGCGATTTCAACAACCTCAAAAAAAAGAAATAAAAAAAAACACACAGAATACGAACGAAAAACGAAAGCCGAAAACGAAGCTGATAAACGCTTTGATATGCCCGTTGATCGTTGTATTCTATGTTTGTATATATTCACATATATACATATGTATGTACACATACATATGCCATGTCTCTTTCACACACATACGCACGTCTTTGGCGTTTATGGGGCGCTGCTGCACACACACCAACACAGTGAAAGTCGTGCAACGCTGCAAGTGCGCCGCTTTCTTGTTGTTGCTGTTGCTGTTGTTGTTCTTGTTGTTGTAGCGACGAATCTGCAATGAACTCAATTCGCCGCAGAGCAAAAGCAAACATTTTTAGCTGCAACTGTTCCTCGACAATAACAATACATGCAAATAATTGTCAACAATGCATAGCAACTTT